TGGTGTCGCGGCGCGGGGCCGAATGATAGATGTGAATACACGCCCCACATACATCCCCCCCCAGGGTGGGGGGGCGGGGGGATTCTTGGGGGTTGAAGTCCACATATCTTCAAGCTGCCAAGGTTGAGAAACACTAGTCTAGGCAAATGCTTGCAATACTGTTGACCCTGTAAGTGGAATCCCACCAAAGTGGATTCAAATTCAGTATAAGCAACTCTTACGTAACTGCACAGAGATACTTCGCTCTTGAACGGAGTGGATATTAATTTAGGCAAGCATTGCACATTCCCTCATTATTTATTTCCTCTTTCCTTGGCCCAGCTGCTTCTTCTGTTTTCTTCTTTGCTACATAATGCCTATAACAGATCAGCGGATCTGTCTAACACATCACATTCCCATACTTAGCTATCTAGCATCACCTGTAACAGGTACAGTCAAATTGGTATCACTTTTCCTATTAATTAAATCACAGATACAAAAGAAGAGTGTAAGAAAAAGCTGTTGGTCTCCATTAATGACTCCAACAAATGGTTTAGGGCAAGTATAGATGATCTGCAGGGCAGACCTATCCCTCAGCCCCTTTATGCAGCCCTCAAGTTCTCACCATTGAATAAAGACATTTGTTGTTGCTGTTTTTAAACTCAGCAGTAAAATAGGCATGTTAAGCCTCCCAAGCCTGCAAGATGGGGGCAAAATAAACCTGGCCCTGCTCTCTTCTGCTGCAACACCCTTTGCAGATCTCAGAAACTCAAACTTCATTTTAGAAAAGCATGGTTCTTAACTGCGCGCGTGCATTTTAACAGAAGCAGCCAGAGAAATATAGATACATGCATCTGTGTTCAGAAACATACCAAATTTTAAGCTGCTCTTTCAGGAAAGAAGGAAGCATTTTTATAATGGTAGCTTAAAAAAGGAGTCACGGGCAAATCTTACAAGCAGGAAACATAAGCCATTCTCAACCCATTTTAATTCACCTTCCAACCCCCTTTTCAAAAGCCACATCAATTCCATGCTCCACATCACCCTTGGAAACAGAAAATAATATTAATGTTCAGAAGGTCACCTCCATCAGCGGCAAGAAGGTTGTTCTTAAGAATATATATTCTTCTGTAACTTGACTTCTCTTTAAGTTATATTCCACTGTTAGAAAGGCTATTGCCTTCAAATTAGGTTATGTCCCTAACCAACAGTGTCATTTGTTTCATGCATTCCTCTGGACACAGAAGGGGTCAAACTGGTGACCAGGTCCTACATTCTATCCTCAAACCTCCATCTTCCCACACACATCCTCTCTGGGCTTCTTTCTGTATCAAACACTCGTTCAACAGCAAGCAAGCAATCCACAGGGATGGAGCCAGTAAACTCCAAGGTACGTAGGGCAGGGTCTGCGTGTAACACCTGTAGATGACCAAATAGATGACCTTGGAGAAGGAACGCGAAGACTGTTAGCAAAATATGAATTAAGCTTGGGGAAACAACAAAGTGTGAGAAAGTGACTCAAGATTGTCCCACCTTGACTCTCTTTATTATAAGAGGAAGAGAAGGGAAAACACTGTCAGGCTTTCAAGATTGACATCAGCCCTTCTAGGTAGGCCAGGTCAGGAAAAGACACCACTAGAACTCTAAGTTATTGATATAGGCTATAATAATAGACAGACAGTGTTTCCCCTTCCCTCCCTCCTATATCAAGGAAAATCAAGGTGGGGCAATCTTGAGTATCTTTCTCGCCTTCTCCTGTTTTCCCAGACTAAGCTCATATTTTATTAACAGATGCCACATATCTTTTCCAAAGTCATCTCTGCGCTGCTCTACAATATCCCATCTTTAGTTTTAGCACCCACGTGTTCTTCTCAGCACATGAATAGGGTTAAAAAAGAAAGAGGGATATGATGTATATCAGGAAATGTAAAATCAGATTGCCCCATCCTACCTTTGTAATTTGATGGGTGCTTTCTCTGATCAAATCTTCCCACTCTTTTTCAGACAGTGAAAGCTTAAAACACTTGTTCTGCAGGGCTTTCTGGAGAAGAAGACATGCCTGGGTCTGGAACAGAAATTTGGGGAGGGCGGGGAGAAGGGAGGGAAAGAAAGGAGATGGTGACATATCATATTTCTTTTCCAAATAACAACCAGAGAATTAACAGGGCAGTGGCAAAAAGATAGTTCAGAGCCTGCGGGGATGGTCACATAACCCCTATCTGCAACGCCTTAAAACAAAACAAAACAGCAGATGAATTGGGCCCAGCCACACAATCCAGGAAAATATGCAGTTTTAAAGAATTGCAGACAGGAGCCACATCTGCACTCCTTTGATCCCCAAAACACCTTTGTTCCTTTGAATCTGATGCACTGTACAGTCCTAGAAACTGGCCGAGTTTCTCAAAATTTCAAAATACACAGATCAAATGTCATTTAAACCCCTCTGCAACCAGGTGTCCATTTTAAAGTAGCATCCTGAACGCTTTTGCTGAATCTCCGATATTTACAAAACAGGTTAAAAGAGGCAGCCTAAATGGTCAAAGGATTGCCGTGGGACACTCATTACAATATTTCTTTACTTTGCATTTTTAAGCAAAACTGCCTCATTTGTGTATCCCACGCTAACAATATTCAGGTCAAGGCTCAGTAATACTTTGCGTTGCATATTTCTCCAAATTTTGAGAGACAAGTACTGATCCAAAAATATGCAGAAAATTGAATATTAATAGGGGGAAAAACTGCTAGATGTCAGTATCGCCGTATGGGTTTTAAAAGGTGCTAGAAATGGAAAGGAAGCATACGCAAGAAGGGAAGACCAATCTATCTACCATCCATAAACAGGCCACTTATGTTGCATTGTAACACCCCATCACATGCTAGGCATTTCTGTCGGTGCAGACTAGTAAAATCAGTCGTACGCTAACAAGGAAGCTAGCATGGAAAGTACCAGCAACACCCTGGGGAAAAGCCTCAAATTTCAGGAGGCAAGCTTGTCACATGCTCAATCGGAGCACATGATCCCTTGTGTTTCATGTATTACCATATATGGTTATGGGCTT